GCTGAAAATAACGAGTCCAATTTTCCACATAATTATCTTGGGCCAATGGATGTCGTTTGTAAACATTGCTTATCACAGAACTTGAGGGGAGAAAATATCTAATCATCACGATCAATTCTCAAGATGTTGCCAAAAGGACCAAGTAGAACAAAAGCCTTACCCTGAAACATTTAGGTACCTCTTGAATGGTGAAGCTCCTGAGAGCAAACATTTTATGAAACGTATTCGATCTTACAACAGTTCATTCGCATTCGCATCTACGGGTGCCAATGTCAAACCACCAGCTGGAAATGGACCCTACTGCCTTCGAGTGTGCGGACAGATAGTTTACAGAACTGGAACATTTCACCCGAAAGAGCAAAAACAGCGGAAGTTCGTCCAAATTTATTCTCGATCCAGATGAAGCAGCACAGCATCGCATGAGTCTCCCCGAAAATAAAGATTGTCATCAAAATATCATGAGGATAATTGGAGAAGTAATTCAAGACAATTCAATAGCAGAAGCCCTCAAGATGTTACATGAGGTTGAGAGAGAAGCAATTGAGAAGGCAGAGAATGAAGGAATTGAACCAACTAAATTGGCGTTAGCCATTGTCCATGATAAGAAAACTAACAAGAGAAGATACAACAGTCCCACCGGAAATAGGTGGCAATCGTCTTTCAGACAAAAGATGGAGAGCCTCCATTTGAATCCTGATCCTCTAAACCCAAATAGAAGGATACAACGAGTAAGTATACTACACGAAAAGCTGGATGCATTGACATAGCTATACTGTTTCTTAGAGGAGACGACGGATGGACAACCACGATTGCAAGAGTGAAGAAAAATAGGGCACAGACACGAGAAAGGATAAGTATGAATATGGAATATTTCTCTTACAGATTGTCTTCTCGACATGATAAATTTAATCCGATATTGAGTGCGGGAAAATTGACACAACAATACATGGTAGATGCTTATGTGAGAGCTGAGGCGAATGACTTATACTGGGTGAAAAATAATCATTCAACATTGAGATCAGAAAAATATAATGGTTTAATGGATGCGATAGAACGGGATGAGGAAGTTGATGGGAGTAATAACCTGATTGGAAAAACAGTTATACTGCCTTCAAGTTTCCAGGGTGGACCGCGAAACATGCAGCAGTATTACCAAGATACTATGGCCATTGTCACAGCCTGATTTATTTGTAACAATGACTTGCAAAACAAGATGGAAAGAAATAACTGAAAACCTCAAACCTTGGGAAAAAGCTGAATTCTGACCTGACTTGGTCGCGCGAGTATTTAACTTGAAACTTACACAACCTCTTGATGACATTACGAATAAACGTAAGTCATTAGTTGGCTGTGTTGATTAGTAAGTCATTAGTTGGGAAGGTTGTTGCGCATGTGCATGTGATTGAGTTCCAGAAGAGAGATCTTCCACATACACACATTCTGATTATCTTAGACAAGGACGAAAAAATTACCACTCCTGAAGATATTGATAAAATAGTGAAGGCAGAGATTCCAGATAAAGAGACTTCACCACGACTCTGAAATATTCACGAAACATGTGATCCATGGACCATGTGGTAAGAGAAACATTTCAAGTCTCTGTATGGTTGTCAATGATTGCATGAAGTTCCCAAAGTCCTTCTGTGATGTTACCCTTGGAAATGTGGATGAATATCCATATTATAGATGACGGAATCAAGGATCTGTTGAGGTGAATGGGAAGTTGATAGATAATAGCTGGATTGTTCCTTACAATCCATACCTGTTACTAAACATATAATTGTCACATAAATGTGAAGATCTCTTCATCAGTAAAGAGTGTGAAGTACTTATACGAGTAGCCTACGTTTACAAAGGTCGTGATTGTGCAAACCTTTGTGTGCTGAGAAGAACGAAAGAGATATGACGAAGGAGTATGTGGACTCACGATATGCGAATGCACTGGAAGCGATTCATCGAATTTCCAGATTTATGAACCATGCTCAGTCGCACACTATCTATAGACTACCGGTACATCTGGAAAATCAACACTTAGTGTTTTCAACAGGGAAATGAACACGCAGGTGGCTGCGGATCGAGCTCAGAGGAAAGATACGAAATTGACGGGATGGTTTAAGTTGAATATAGTAGATGAAACTGCACATGACTTTATTTATTCCGTAACACCCAACCACTTCGTTTGGAAGGATACGATTGCAAAGTGGGAAAGAAAACAAATGGGAGGAGACAAAGTGATAGGGAGGATGGTGAATGTAAATATCAAAGACCCAGAAAGATACTACCTTCGATTACTTTTATGCCACGAAAAGGCAGTTACATCTTTTCAACACTTACGAACAATTATGGTGAACAACGAGTCTGTTCAAGTAGGTATCTTTCGAGAGGCAGCGAAGCGCAAGGGATATCTTTTGGATGACACGATTTGGCAAGACACAATTCATGATGCCACTGTTTATGCAATGCCATTCCAGCTTAGGCAAATGTTTGTCTATATCAGTGCTTATGGCCTTCCCTCAGATGCCTTTAAGTTATGGAATGATAATTTACAGCACTTGATGGAGGCCATTTACTATGAGTGACATCTCAAACAGGATGAATGTCAAAGATAAAAGCACTTAAGGACGTAAAAGATACCCTGGCTCTTCTTGGTCATTCACTCTACTATTTCAATTTATCTGATGTGGGCTACGATTTGCCAAGTATGAATCAGATTATCTATGATTCAGACGTTGAGCAGGAGGCTGCAGATGAGATGATTAAATCTTTGAATGATGACCAACGACAAACATTCACAACGATAATCAACGCTTTGAATGATGAAGTTATCTACCCTAAATGTTTTTTCCAGGATGAACCCGGAGGAAGTGAGAAGACATATTTGTACCGAACTCTTCTTCATTACCTTCGAGCAAGGAATGAAATTGTCATTCCCACAGCATCGACTGGAATTGCGGCAAACTTGCTCAGTGGAGATAGAACCTACCATTCCCTATTCAAGTTACCATTAGAAGTTAATGAAACATCCATTTCAAATTTGGATTTGAAGTCGAAAGACGCAAGCAATATTAGAGTAGCGAAGTTGCTTATCGTCGATGAATGCATCATGGCATCGAGCCATGTTATGAATGCCATCGACAGAATTCTAAGAGAGGTAACTGGATATCAAATTCCATTTGGTGGGAAGGTAATGTTACTTAGAGATGACTTCCGGCAATGCTTGAACATTGTCCCGCATGCATTGCGACCAGCGATTGTCCAGTCCCGACTTAAGTACAGTGGTGCCTCGTATAACGTACTTAATCCGTTCTAGGTGCACGTCCGTTAAGTGAAAAGTCCGTTATACGAAACGCATTTTCCCATAGAAATACATGTTAAAACATATAATTCGTTCCGCAGCATAAAATAATTGTACTGTACCATAAAAAAAATGAAACTGGAGCAGTCACCAATTATGCCGGGTAGTCAGATGTAGTGAGGAGGAGGTGGAGGAACACTTACTTCACACATTCATACAGATACAGACTTTTTACACATTGCAGCAGGTCTCTTTTTATTGTTTTTTAATCGGAGTCAGATTCAGGAGAGGCTACAGGGGCTTGCAGAGTCAACTCCTCTTGTTCCATCCTTTGTCTTTTGACAGCTGGCTTCTTGAAAAGCATGTCCAAGGTGGTCTGTTTCTCTCTCTCTTCTTCAACACCTGTCGGAAATGACGGGCAAAGGTGTCGTTGTAAAGAGATCATTGATCCTGTTGGCCTCAACTGTGTTTGGATAATGAGTGTTGGGAAACTCCTGAATCTCTCCCCATTTGACAAGGAACTTTTTGTCAACTTTTACTCCTTCTGATGATTTATTTCCTTGTTTCAATTGAAATCACCTTTCTGTTTTTTAGAAGCTATAATTTTCACAACACTTGAATAAATGTAAATACCCTGCACTGAGGTGATGTATGTAATAAACAAGGGAGCAAGCCGAATCCCAACGGGAGCTCTGTACTTCAGATATACTAATAATATATTTTGATAATACTAATATATTATAAAAATAGCAGATTGCCATTGGCAACAGCAAAAGAGTGATAACATCATTCGCACTTGTTCGCCTCACGTAACGGCCAAACAGAAAGTCCGTTGTTCGCAGCGTCCGTTATTCGAGGCGTACGTTATACGAGGCACTACTGTATTATTATTTGTGTAAAAAAAATTACATTTTGAGAGACAAATTATAATTTATATGTAGGTCTATGCTGTTGACATGCGAAATCATGGAGATAGCCCGAAGATGTCGACGATTAACCACGAGGATAATATCGAAGACTTGAATAACTTTCTGCAGAAAATTGGCGAACAAGTTATCTTAATTGGGCATAATTTTGGAGGAACGGCAGCTATTGATTTGGCTTTCAAGAGAGTGCGTACAAATATCGGTTGTAATTCTTTAACTCTTTCCATTAATTTACTTTGAAGTGATTGAAGTTTAATATAACATAGGGTAAAAAATTAATATTTTAATATTAAATAATGTTATAATTTTAAATATTGTTTAACGAATAATGTGCTTGCAACCAGATCCGTAGCAATGCATTTGCCCCGCATTTGCATAAACGTTTGCGCCTCTCGTAAACATTTATGCGCTGTGGACTAGAAAACTAAAAATATTATGAGCTCTTTGCCATAATTTGTNCTTCACACATTCATACAGATACAGACTTTTTACACATTGCAGCAGGTCTCTTTTTATTATGTTGTTTATAGGGAAGTTTTTTGACAGGAGAGATGAAGGAAACAAAACTAGATTTTTGAAATATATTATTTATATTTATTTCAACTACTTTGAATAAAGATAATCACAACGTTTTCATCACTTTCTAATATAAAGATAATCACAACAGTTTTCATCACTTTCTAATATACAAATCCTGTTTGCTGTTTGTGTATTGATTTAAGATTAGTTTTTAAGATAAAGAATTGTATATATTTGTATATATTAAGTGCATAAAACTTTTAAATATTACGTGCTTTAAACCTTAAATATGCATCAAACTTATAAATATTACGTGCTTTAAACTTTCATATATTAAGTATATCAAACATACCTCATGGGAATTTGTAAAAAACACGTACTAGGAGGCGTCCCGGGATACAAGTAAGTTTACATTATAATTAATAAGCGTCATCGTCGTTAATCATTTTTAATCATTACCGAAGCGACTTGCTCGGTTTGTGTCAGTATTGTCTTAGTTAAGATGGAAGATTTCGGACAGTAAATTTCGTTTCTCTTTCTATTTAAAATAATATGAAAAATCTTTATGTATAAATTTACTTTTATTTTTTTTAGAGAAGAATCAGAAGGTCTGGCTTATACTTTGCACAGTGGCGAAGAGAACAATAGAAGTTCTTTTAACACACCAATTGTGATTTTTCACGGTTTAGTCGACAATAAAGAAAATTGGAAAGGAATTGCTACCTCTCTGGCAAATACGTTATCTACTAAGGTACTTTATATTTATTTATATAATATAAGCAACTTAAATCATTGGGCTGCAATTTTCAAATTCTAGACCTATATAATCATACTGTCGTTCGTCAGTCTATCTGTTCTTCGCTAATCTCGAGAACGGAGCCAGATGAAAATCGAGACAGATAGGGAATGGTTACGTGCCGAGACCCCGATTAACTATATACGAACTTCCGGTCTGAGCGGGAAGTGAAGTGATTTCAATTCAAAATATTTGTATAAAATATAAAAACTTATAGCACGGCATTGTGACGATGTCGCAATTAGTAATATGGGGTTTTTTTTACTAAAATTTACATGTTTATATATAAATGTTCATACCTATACTTATATGTACTTTATATATATATATATAATNCAATTCAAAATATTTGTATAAAATATAAAAACTTATAGCACGGCATTGTGACGATGTCGCAATTAGTAATATGGGGTTTTTTTTACTAAAATTTACATGTTTATATATAAATGTTCATACCTATACTTATATGTACTTTATATATATATATATAATACTAGTACATAATATATATAATAATAATTGTAATATATATACATTATAACTATTTTAGAGTAATTTATGATTTTTACATTACAAAGTATATATTTTGAAGACTGGAGATTAAATTTCACATACAATGTAGCTATAATTCACGATTCAAATTAGATTAAATAGATAAATTATAATGTTCACCAGATAAAACAAAGAGCTGCATATTTACCAAGATGGCATTAAAGAAAGTTACAAAAAATAACCATTCTTTCCATTTCTGTTCAGTTCGTTCTTTCTGAGATTTCAACTTTAATTTTTTGTACACAAATATAATTTATTACATTAATTAAAGTACAGTGGTGCCTCGTATAACGTACTTAATCCGTTCCAATTGCACGTCTGTTAAGTGAAAAGTCCGTTATACGAAACGTATTCTCCCATAGAAATACATGTTAAAACATATAATTCGTTCCGCAGCATAAAATAACTGTACTCTACCATAAAAAAATGAAAATGGAGCAGTCACCAATTATGCCGGGTAGTCAGATGTTGTGAGGAGGAGGTGGAGGAACACTTTCTTCACACATTCATACAGATACAGACTTTTTATACATTGCAGCAGGTTTCTTTTTATTGTTTTTTAATCGGAGTCAGATTCAGGAGAGGCTACAGGGGCTTGCAGAGTCAACTCCTCTTGTTCCATCCTTTGTCTTTTGACAGCTGGCTTCTTGAAAAGCATGTCCAAGGTGGTCTGTTTCTCTCTCTCTTCTTCAACACCTGTCGGAAATGACGGGCAAAGGTGTCGTTGTAAAGAGATCATTGATCCTGTTGGCCTCAACTGTGTTTGGATAATGAGTGTTGGGAAACTCCTGAATCTCTCCCCATTTGACAAGGAACTTTTTGTCAACTTTTACTCCTTCTGATGATTTATTTCCTTGTTTCAATTGAAATCACCTTTCTGTTTTTTAGAAGCTATAATTTTCACAACACTTGAATAAATGTAAATACCCTGCACTGAGGTGATGTATGTAATAAACAAGGGAGCAAGCCGAATCCCAACGGGAGCTCTGTACTTCAGATATACTAATAATATATTTTGATAATACTAATATATTATAAAAATAGCAGATTGCCATTGGCAACAGCAAAAGAGTGATAACATCATTCGCACTTGTTCGCCTCACGTAACGGCCAAACAGAAAGTCCGTTGTTCGCAGCGTCCGTTATTCGAGGCGTACGTTATACGAGGCACTACTGTATTATTATTTGTGTAAAAAAAATTACATTTTGAGAGACAAATTATAATTTATATGTAGGTCTATGCTGTTGACATGCGAAATCATGGAGATAGCCCGAAGATGTCGACGATTAACCACGAGGATAATATCGAAGACTTGAATAACTTTCTGCAGAAAATTGGCGAACAAGTTATCTTAATTGGGCATAATTTTGGAGGAACGGCAGCTATTGATTTGGCTTTCAAGAGAGTGCGTACAAATATCTGTTGTAATTCTTTAATTGTTTCCATTAATTTACTCTGAAGTGATTGAAGTTTAATATAACATAGGGTAAAAAAATTAATATTTTAATATTAAATAAAGTTGTAATTTTAAATATTGTTTAACGAATAATGTGCTTGCAACCAGATCCGTAGCAATGCATTTGCCCCGCATTTGCATAAACGTTTGCGCCTCTCGTAAACATTTATGCGCTGTGGACTAGAAAACTAAAAATATTATGAGCTCTTTGCCATAATTTGTGCCGGCCCAATATGTCACTTTTGCGATTTCCCATCAGTCATCTTTTAAACCATTCGTAAAATTGCGCTACGCATCGGCTTGATGAACAAACGCAAGAACTAGCTCTGGAAATCGTCATTTTCATATGAATATTAATTAAAAAACTGTGGCTTTATCTATATCTCAATATCGGAATTACAGGCTCACCCTATGTATATTGAATATTTTATTTTGAAGCTATGTTTTGTTCTTCTATAATATTGATAAGTTCTTCTTTGTAATAAAATGATTTCTTATAATATATGTATTTATCATTCTGCTAATTAAAATAAGTTAAAAACAGACACCAGTTGAGGTATTTGCCAAAAGCGACAAAAACATTGCTACGTCTCTGTTCCAACCATCTGTTTAGAACTTCAGCAGATAATCAGCATTCAATGTAAACTCACTGCCAAAAGTTAAGCACGGAACGCTGTTTCGTGCTTAACTTTTGGCAGTGAATGTAATTTGTAATCTAAATTATAGTACAACAAATATTGCTTTGACGTTTCATTACTTGCAATTTTATTCATTTGCTTTTTATTGTGTTTAGCCGCAACTGATTAAACAATTGATATTGATTGAGGCATCTCCATTGAGATATCCAGAAAACGAAATTAGTAGACTAGGCCTTATTGTATGTCATATGTTTCGAGCTATGCTTTTCGTTAGAAAAACTAACTCTTTCAGAAAGGCTAGAGAGATATTTGAAGAATATTTTCAAGATAAAATAGAGGTAAGGTTTATTCTCCAAGATGTACAGTACTTGGAAAATACGATTTTTCGTTTCAAAACTCAAATTATTTCAATAAATGATAGAATTTACAGATTTATTATTATGCAGGAGAGTGGGAGGTAAAGCGTGCCCTTTTGACCTTTATAGGACTGTTTATTTCATTTTTCCCCAACAAATAAAATACGTAGAGTGATTCTTTATTAATGAAAGGAAATTTTATAAACTTTAATTTATAGGAATAAGAACCACTACAGGTCCCTACGTTTTCTCTGGCCCGAAGAAAAATCCCCATCTTATATCAAGATCGTCGAGATCTTGATATAATCTATGTATTCGTATATATTTTTTTTACATGTTCACGAACTATCACAAGTACCTTTTAGAATTTTAAGAAAATATTGTGTAAAAGTGCTTATTTATAAATCATTTTAACAAGTTAAAAAGTTGGAAACCATACGGAAGTTTCTCTCGTTTTCTAATTTTAGATTCCGGCACTTCGTGATATAATTCTGTCGAATCTACGAGAAGATACTTTTGGTATAAACTGGAAAGTAAATTTGAAGGTGCTGGAAATGTCTGTATATCTGGATAAAATTTTTGAGAAAATCTATCCTTTACACGGCGTTTATCACGGTAGAACTTTAGTGATCCACACCTCTACCTCTGAATCAATCGCGTAAGTATTCTTGTTTTTCTGATGTAACAATGATTAATTTATTCCAGTATGATAACGAATAATAAATCATTGCATTTAATTTGATTAATAATATATTTATCCGTATCACTTCTAAGTAACTTAATAAAACAAAAATAACTTTTTCTAACATGGAAATAAACAAAAGAAGAGTTATAATAATTATTCAATGAATGCAGAAGAAAGACGAAAGATGACAGTTCATTTTTAAATACAGTAGAGCCCCGATTATCCAAGATAATGTGAACCATGGTACTCATTTAATCGAAAACGCGAATAAAACGGTCCATTCGGATTAAAAATTACTAACATAAAAGCTTTATATGGTATTTGTACCTTTGTGAATTTAATCATATGTAAAAACATATATTTCTACATCATTTATTATTCAGCTGACAAGTACAGTAGGTTTAAGAATAAAAATGTATTATTATAGTTACATCTTAAAATTTAATGGTTTGTTTCAAATTGTAGTTAAATTATACAGGTCTATAGAAAGAAATCATTTTGTAGTGTGTGTTTCTGATTTAGACTTTCTTTTACGAATTACAGTGTAAGAAAAGTTGTGCATCCACTTAGAGATTCGGCTCGGATAATACGGAACCTCGGTTAATCGGAACTCGGATAATCGAGGTTCTGTTCTGATTTTATTTACTAATTTTTAAACTTTGATCATTTCACATTCAGTTAGAAAAGCTTTTTTTTTTTAATAACTGCAGATAATCAGACTATTATAAATCAGTGTTATATTTTGAATATAACATTTTCTTTATGAATAAACACGAAAAATATTTATTAAAGAATATTATGAAAATGTCTTTAGTATTTAACCATTACAATGTAACAATGTAACAATCCGAGTTTCTCTTCCTTTAGTTCAGTCGATAGTAAGAGATATTTATATTCGGCATTAACAATGATATTATCAGCCTAATTTGTTTGATAATGAGTTTCTTTTATATACAGCATAATTTTAATTTTAACATTATTTTATTAATTTAGTAAAATTATATTTTCTCAAAATATTTAGTAGAATTTTTTGTTTTAATCTATATTTAAGAAAGCCAACAATTTTAAACGAACAACAATTTTATTCCCGAAAGTAAACGTATTGTTCCTAACTAATTATAACACGATGATTTCTATTTGGCACTCAAAATTTTCCGTCATGTACTGTAATCGGATACGCTCGACTTTATATCTAGTATAATATAGGAATTCTAAACTATTGCGGATCGATTTAATCTTACAAGGAGAGCCTACTGCTTTGGGGTAACGGATTTTGATGATCTTTGTTGTAGAGGTAGTACACATGTGAGTGTACTACCTGTAAAATACTAAAGTGCAATACTCAAATATAATCGAGAAAATCGAGAAAATCGTAGTTGTAGGTTCACTGGTGCATGTATTCCGTTCCAGAGACTTAGGGGTACATATTAATCTGTGTGATGTTCACTTTTTTTAAATTTTGGTCTCGACAGACATAAGATAATTCGAGATGGCGATGCGTGAAATACGGACCCCTTTGGTGCTTTTACAGTAATATGGAACTCAACTCCTCCGAACTCTCTCTTTGCAATCAGACATTCATCCGGAGCAATTCGAGAAAAAGACACTAGGTAGAAAGTCAATTCTTCCTGAAAATATCGAAAAAGAGCTGCTGGAATACATATATTGTTGATGGAGGTCATATTTTTCTATTATAAAAGCATTTTTGCGATAAAATACATTGGAGTAAATAATTTTGTAATTATTTAACATTTTTTGTCCTTTCCTATTTGTTTTTGGCTACATTAAAGCATTTTTTTGGAAATATACAGTAAGGTTCCATATTACCACCCGATTTTCTCTAAGCCTACTTTCGGACTTTTTGTACAAAAGCCTTAAAAAAACCATACTTATAATTACACTAGCAAAAAATCCAATTAGGAACATTTAGTTTACTAGTTACCAGTACTTTTCGCACAAAAAATGTGGGTGTAGTTATGATACCTTGTTTGCAATTCACTAAAATGTAATTGGGGTTCCATAATACCACCTTCTCCTCTATCACGAAACCTGGACATCTTACTCTTCTCCTGATTTCATCTCCCTTATTAACTTTTAAGCCCTTTGTCCGATCCACACCAAATTTTTCATACTTATTCTCTGGAACACAGGAAAATATAGACTTTCTTGAAATCCGAACATCTCACTCTTCTTCTGATTTGATCTCCTCGTCATTTCGCGATAAACATAACTATTGTAAGCTGAAATAACCGACGGCTGGTGACCGAGCGGTCATGGTGGCAGCCTGCTGCTCTGAGGGACCCGAGATCGAACCGTCAGATTCGATCCCGGGTCCCTCAGATTTGGTTAATCATAAAAGCCAGTGGAACATTTTCATTAGTTCAAATTCAGGTAAAAAATTCACCATTCCGTGGAAAACCATATTCGTAAAAGTACAGAATGAAAAATGCGTTAGTAGCCTACTGATAGTTCCGACAGGAACCGTCTCGACATTCCGTGTGGAACTGATCCTCGTCGTTCCGAGTTCGGAACAGTTCTTTTGGAACGATTCTGACCAGAATACCCACCTCTAGTCTATTCAGTTTTCTTATGTGAGTGGTAGTTGTGGAGTTTGATAATTATTTATCCAACATTCTGTAGTCAAACAAGTGTTATCCTAATAGTACAACTGCAATGTACAGTGCATGTCGTTGAATACTTAGTTACGTTTTGTTAGTGGCCATATGCTGTAAAAGCTTTCTCGGAAATGCGGCATGGTACATATATTCTGAGATGTTTTCTAAATTTAACACATGGAAATTAGTAAAGAACTCATTCTTTTATCCAGGATAATAGATAAGAAAGTTGATATTAGTTTTCTAATGTAATCATATAATTGAGATCAATTGGCCAAAGCGTTTAAAGTATTAGTCTATTGCTCTGTGGGACCCAGAATCACCTGGCTGTATAAAAACATCTGTAAATTTTTCGAAGGTGGTTTGATCCGGATATGTCGGGTCACTTCCCGATCACCCGGCCGTCTCATTGTGGACTTGGCAGAAACCACGATTGACTTAGAAAAACGATAGCGCGTGAAAACGTTTGCGATTTGGCGAAATGGAGTCATACAAAAATACAATTCTCTAACTAGGCACGCATCTTTTGGCATTATTCGAAGAAAAAAAATTGTATTCAAATATTTAAAGATACGAGTTCAAATATTTGTCGCATGGAAAAACGTTGCATCTAATTACACTGTTGCCGAGTAAAATGACTGTAGAAAAAAACAATAAAAATAAAATGTAGCAAGAACTGAAAATTATCTCCGCTAAGCCTATGTGGCATCTAGTATCGTCAGATAATCCACAGTGAATAGTGTGTGCAAGAATCATGGTATTATTGCTGGATGTTTTCTTAATGGAATGTCCGCCCATATTTTAGGTGACATAGTTAAACTTTATGATATCAATATCTAAATTTATTACATTTTTCAAAACAATTAAATGGTATTTGTATTTCTTGAATTTAAAAAATAGAATGATTAATTTTTGTTTATTTTTCAGAACGGAAGAATACGGAAGTTTGAAGAAACATTTTCCCAATGCATCTTTTAAATGCATAGAAAATTGTAGCAATTGGATTCACTTGGACCAACCGGATGAACTCTGCGATATTATTTCTGAATACGTTGCAAGTATTTGACGGTCTGTAGAAGCAAGCATCCAAAACAGAATATTCTATATACGTATATGCTCAATTAGTAATGAAATATTTTGTTATAATGTATTTAATTAATACAATATATATTTTTATAATAAATATATAATTTTATCAGTTGTTTATAAGCGAAGTAAAAAATAATAAAAATTATTTTCTAAATTCAAAAACTCCAGAAAATCATATATATCTTATTCAACGGTATGTAGAGAGCAGTCGAAATGCAACGAAATTTGTCAAATGGTGACATTTCAGGACAAGCAGAAGTCAAATCCGTAACAAAAGTTATTATTAAAACTCGCTATTATGCTATTTTTGCGGCTGCAAGTGAGGGGGAAAACAATTTCATTTATGGGGAACACTTAAACTGTGTGATATGGCAGCAATGAAGGACTTTCACATTGAATGTGAGAAGCACCAATTAAGATGAGGAACAGCGATCTTCAGAATGGGACACATTGAACAATATTTCTTGAATTGCGAGTGTGGTTTGGTTTATTTAGTTACTGCAACGCGATACGTGGGTCGAGTGGGATGCCTCCCGGGAGGACTTCTATGCTCAAGTGGCCCATGTTTAGGTGTTATAAACGTAAAGATAACCCAGAAAACTCCATGTGGCCAGTCCGTTGGCGAGGCCCGAACTCACGACCAACTATCAGTGTTCAGTGGTTTCATCCACTCGGCCACTGATGGACATTGCAAAATGTGCTGTGGCATGAATGTCCAGTACAAGTAAAATGCTTTTGCTTGCAGAGCCAAAAGTGCTTTAGTGGTATGTTTTGTAAATAATTCATTTTTACGAAAATATCTTTGCATGTGCTGAAATAACACTATACCAGATTTATTGTATTTGTACTACTAAATATTTTTCCAGATAGCGTCGAATACGGCTGCATTAATAGATAATGTCTGATTTTGCTTACAAAAAGAAGCTTACGGCAAATGCTAATTAATGAATGAAGTAAGATTATTAGGTGCTGTAAATTGTTTACGTTATTTAATTCCGAAACTATCGCTCTTTAGAAATTATTGAATACTTTTAGTTCATAAAATATGGAATTTTAATTTGTTACAGCATTCAAATGGAGTCGGAAAATTTTCCATACTCTTAGGATAGGTTAATGAATTTTAATCGATATTTGCGTGTTTCGGGTATTTGTTATTCTAGTCTTTAGTACTATATTGGATAGAACTTAAAAATATATTAAAATGAAGATACAGTAATAGATAAATACTGTATAATAGATAGATACATCAAATCAAATAGCAACTTTTTACAAACATATAATGCATATAAAAAGTTGCTGTTTAATTTGACTATTTTCACAGTTTCACATAATAGTTATTTTTTAAATTTTGGAATGAGTTATAAAACTTAAAAATATATTAAAATGAAGATACAGTAATAGATAAATACTGTATAATAGATAGATACATTAAATTATAATATTACTTCTATTTCTTCGTCATATTTTTTATCATTAAACAGAATTTAATATATTGTATGCTTACCTAAAATCATAATTCATTATTATAATATAATTCTTTACGTTGAAAGACTTTCAGCACTGTAAAACAGTGGTGCCCAAACTTTTTGCTTGGTGACCCAAATTGCACATAAGTCAATAAGTAGGCGGGCCACAAATATTTTGGATATTTCACATATATGCAAGTATGTCTAGTTCTATCAGTTACGTTATTCATTATATTGTTTCTTTCAAGTGATGTGTCAAATGTGTTTGCGGGCCGCATTTGGGCCGGGAGACATAGTTTGTGCACCCTTGCTGAATGTTGAGCGAAATTTTTGTTATTGTTCTCGGAAGTTACGCTGAAGTATTTGATATTTGCGATGAAACTTTCCACGAAATAGAGAAAGGATGACGACGAACGAAATTATATTTTCTAAACGAAAAATTCCTAATGATGTATAGTATGTTGAACTAAAGAATACTATAAACCTTTGAACTCGTAAAACTCGTATATTTTATTTTTGGTGATATATTACAAGTTTATTTGTAGTGTACTTAAAAATTCTGAGAACATCCTCTGACATATCCTTAGTGTTGACTCTGAAAAACAATACTTCTGTCGTTGCTTTTTCACTCAATAAGCTATAATGCTGAGTCGAAATTCCCAAAACAATGATTAATTAACGATCGTGATGTTTTTTACGTCTGGAACCCACCTGTATTTTTGTATCAATTAATACATTTTAAACAACGACTCGTGACAACGTAGTGCATGATTCTGACAACAATTAACAAACTTTTATGGAACATGTTTACAAGATTTGAAAAACAAAGTGAAACCTAATTACTGACTTCGCCTCTTTCATATCAATATTTTTATGATTATTATTTTTTATTTAATTTACCTGTCACCATATCATTTTGTAATATCTTTTTTATCTAGAACTAAAAATCCATTACGGTTTTTTAAACATATTTAATATATTATATGTACATTTTAGAAATGGGAAATTTTGATATATTTCTTGCTTTTTACCTGCATTGTGTCTACATTTCTTCTAGAGTTATAGCACGTAGAAACTTTTACATTTTACGATGCACCTTTTATAGTTTATTAAATATTTTTTGGAATTATTTTTCAAGCAANTGTCGTTCTTTTTAAAATATTTGTAGCTTTTAGTTCATAATATATGGAATTTTAATTCCAGTATTACTTGAAGAAGTTGTAAATTTTTTCCATTTTCGTAGAGCAGTTTAATTAATTTTAATCGATATTTGCGTGTTTAGGATTATATCTTATATCGGTTAGAACTTGAATATATTTATGAGGTATGTTGTAATGAAGTAGATCAGACATGATAGATTACTGAATTCCTTAAAAGTATTATAATGCAATGTTGCTTCGATGTGAATTTCATCGTCAAACTTTATATAATTAAACATAATTTACTATATTGTAAAATGTTCTATAATTGCAATCATGCTACAATACCTAATCGTTAAAAGAATTTTAAATGGTATAAAAGTAGATAAGTCATTTTCCAAAACTTTGTGCTTGCAAAAAGAACAAGCGCTCAAACGACGATTCGCCATAGCTCCATTTTACTTATTAATAATGCAATTAATAAGTAAAATGTTTGAAGATATTATTTTCAGAAAAAGAAAATTTAATCATTTATCACCTTCAATTCATCTGGTAAAGTTCTGTATGCAGAAGAGGCCATGTTTACTTCTATAAAATTTCCATAAAGCTATAAATTAAACATACGATTGACTTAAATGAAATCATTACCTAAGATTATTGGTTTTAATTAATTTATTGAGATGATATTAATGACGACTGTAATTAATNATCTGGTAAAGTTCTGTATGCAGAAGAGGCCATGTTTACTTCTATAAAATTTCCATAAAGCTATAAATTAAACATACGATTGACTTAAATGAAATCATTACCTAAGATTATTGGTTTTAATTAATTTATTGAGATGATATTAATGACGACTGTAATTAATCGCTTTAAAATAGCAAAATGTTTTACAGTTAAATTATAGGGACTACATGCAACGTTTTATTCTATTTACTTTCGTTGATGTTATAAAATATGACAGGGTGAGTATGGTAATAGGCTAAATTTTGACCTTTTCCAGAGATTTGGCACACCTGGAGCCGAAAAAAATCTCCCTTTCTATATTTGACAATTTATTTATGGAAATTTGGTTTGCTGATTATGTCATTTAAATCTCTAATTATGTTTTAATAATTAGAATGTAATCATGTAGGAAGGACATACAGAATTACATATATTAATACCAAATAATATAAATGAAGTTGACTATGTATGTTAGTATGTTAATAAACACAAATAGATCAAATATTGTCGTACTGTACTGTACGTCAGTTTCATCTGATAGAGACGCACCATGCTTCATGCTGCATTTTTACTATTACAAAATTCTCTTTACAAAGGGTACGATAGAAGAAATAAGTAGTCAAAATTAAAATTTATTACAAATATCAAATATGACTCACCTTGGCTATCAGCCGAGAAGAAAGAAAGCAAATTACGATGAAATTTAAAAAGGAAAACCAACATAACACTGCGACTAAAATCTTCATCTTCATGTTCGTAAATAAAATACTATACATAAAAAAAGATATTAGGTAAATAAATATTGCGTATAAAAATAGCAGAACCTATTCCCATGTGTCGTTCATCTGATCAAAACAGTCCAAAATTTCTGTATGCTTGACTATTATTTCATCCAGTAAAAACTTTTTATTTCTAGAATTTTTAATTGCATCTCTAATAATTCCTGTCAAGTAATTCAATCTGTAATACAGTATTGTACCAATCAAATACATTTGAACCATTAGTAATGCAACTATGACTGTACCTTCAATTGCTTCCCACGTGCTAAATACCGTGCATAATAATGCAACCGAGTCTAATTCGCTAATTTTGAATACAGGAAATAGGAAAACGTCTGCAATAGTAATAAGAAAAAAGAACATACAGACTAAAACAAAAAATGTAACAACCGATATAATTTCAAGAGTTTTTGATAAATTAATTTCATTGTTGTAACTACTCTCCTTGTAGTAGAAATTGAGTCTTTTTCTCTTACAAAGGCCAAATTGAATAGCAGCGTGTAGAAAGAACAAGAAGAATGTGTATTTCAGTATTATTAAGTTTTCTCCGAATAACAGCAACCAATCGCTGCAAATTACGCCAGTCTCCAGGATATCCAGAGTGAATCTAAAGATAGCCAAACACCAAACTACTTCGATCAGATTCGAGTAGACATGGTAGAAAAAGAAGGAAATTTTCTTTTTTTCTTTCTCCGAGTCATAAAAATTATTGAAACATCTGCAATCCTCTACAATGTTTATGCCAAAAACTTTGCAAGATTGAAAACTTGCGTACATCAAACATACGGGGCATCCATTGTAAGTTTCAATATCCATTTTTTTCACGTATTTGTTGAGGAAGAATACTTGATTGAAATAACCAGTATATTTCTCAAAGTTGTAAATATATTTTAAAAGTATTTCGCTCGGAAGAGTTTTAATAATTAATAATTATTGACTTTATTATAGTTTCGAAAAGTTTTTAAAATGATTTTCATATTTAAACTTGACTTTATTACGTAGAATAGAAGTGCTTAAGTTATAAGCGACTACAGGACACCGAAAGTTTAATTCGTTCTATTGAAAATAATTACAGGAAATTGCTTACTAATTATAGGATAATGTAAGATGACGTATCAAATGCTGTAAATTGTTAGCATTATTTAGTTGTGAAAATGTCGTTCTTTTTAAAATATTTGTAGCTTTTAGTTCATAATATATGGAATTTTAATTCCAGTATTACTTGAAGAAGTTGTAAATTTTTTCCATTTTCGTAGAGCAGTTTAATTAATTTTAATCGATATTTGCGTGTTTAGGATTATATCTTATATCGGTTAGAACTTGAATATATTTATGAGGTATGTTGTAATGAAGTAGATCAGACATGATAGATTACTGAATTCCTTAAAAGTATTATAATGCAATGTTGCTTCGATGTGAATTTCATCGTCAAACTTTATATAATTAAACATAATTTACTATATTGTAAAATGTTCTATAATTGCAATCATGCTACAATACCTAATCGTTAAAAGAATTTTAAATGGTATAAAAGTAGACAAAATTATTGCGTATATATTGAAGAAACTGTCGATATACTTTATTTTTCTCAGAAATTACACCAAAATGCTTAATATATTTGCGATGAAAATTTCCCTAAAATAGAAAAATTGTAACATGAATGAAATTATGTTTTCTGAACGGGTACCGAACAGAAAACAGATAAGCATCATAATATAGGTCATAAGCCCATCGTGGATTCTAGCAGACCAGAATAGCGGCGGCTGGTGGTAAGAGATAAGAGTGCCATGTATCTGGCGCTTCGAGAAAAACTTAGGGTCGTTCTCCCGGATTTGAACTCGGGTCTCCATAACGATAGGCTGGCATTTTAGGATTCATCGTAGGCATCTCTGTTGGAAAACATCGGGCATTCTATTGATGTTTCATGGTGTCTTCCAGGACTCACCAGCATAAACAGCTATCGGAATGAGCTTTCCCTAAGCAACATTTTAGTGATCACAGATGGCATTTGCATCATTTAAGGACCCTAAGTGGCATTTCAGTCATTTTATGCTCTTAAATGGCATTTACGTCAATTAATGCCATTGTATGGCATTTATGTCATTTCATGACCCTAAGTGCCATTTTCATCAATTAAGTGTGATTTAATGCCGTTAAGTGTCATTTACATCAATAAATGATTCTAAGTGACATTTTCGTCATTTAATGACCTTAAATGGCATTTACGACGAATGAACTCGATTTTTTCGAATTAATTAAGATTCGGACGGGATATTGATGTATATAGGCATGTAATATATAAACTATAGCGGGAAATAACAGATTTAAAGTAGACTATTTATTAATTTTTATTTTACTTAAACAATTCCGTTGGAAAATTAACAATAAAAAGACTATTTGGAGAGAACAGATTCAAAGGAAAAGATTTGATTTCTCTGAAGAAAACCTATTAATTTTTATTGAAAACCACTGCCACTTATTGTGATATTCTGCTTATCAGAGTTAAAAGTATTTAAATCTAGAGAAATCGTAGTCTAAACTTACTTAAATAATCGCTGCAAATGAAGCAAAACACGAAAAACCACTCGCAATAAATAATCGCACGAGTTAACAATAGATCTCTTTCAACAAGAAAATTTTATTGTTGTGTAACTCAATTTAATGTTAAAAATTTGGATTTTGTGCCGAATTTCGTGATTTCCGTGTCTCTCTATTTCTAGAGAGTGGTGATTTTAACGGTCCATTGCACGAGCTCCTACAATCAATTCACAAAGAGATAAAATATTCTGGAACACTATGGGGCTGTTCATAAATTATTATCGCATTTTTCTTGAAATTTGTATTCGCCCCCTCTGGTCCTAGTTTGTTTAAGTTTCCATAACCCCTCCCCTCTTCGGAAGGCCTACAAAACCTTTATCACTTTACGAATGATAGATACCATAAGTAGAAAAGAAATATACAAGAATTTTTGAGATAGATATAATAAAATGTATAAAATTTAATGTTTTGTAATGTTTATAAAATTCAACGTAACGGTTAAGACAAGACAAAATATTATTATAATATAACAATAAAATTAATTTTAATACTGAATTTGAATTACGAGGTATTGTAAAGTTTCAGAGAAATAACTGCAATTATTAATCATTCTAAAACTGCTGTGGCCAATGTATAGACAAAACAAGAATACTGTAATATGGAAAATGGAGAGAAGTTATTTTTCTTTTTAATTCTTCTCTCTATAAAAGCTTGTCTCAAGTTGCAGCTTTTCCATATATACGAATCGTGTTGATTCAAAAAATTTTGTATTAATGCTATTTATTCTCATGTTTGGATCACATACCTGACAAATAATGAAATAATTCATTGTATTATCTCTCCTCCGATGGTGTCACTACTTTGTTGTGGTGGGGGAGCTTGCTTACAGATGACTGGGAGAGCTATGCCGGTGGTAGCTTAGCTACTGGTAGGACCACCCTACCCAGACACCTGTCCGGCTAGGGTGATCCTACCAAAGAAAAAGAGACAATCTAGTCCTCCAGGTTGGGGGTTTGGTTGATAGGCCTGCACCCTATCTCCTGTAAAAAAAAATCACATCTCAAGTTCCAAGAAAAAGGAACCGGATGAATTATATGGTAAAAGACTGGTATGGTAATATGATAAAGGCAAGGTACACGGACAATGAGTTTGGTTACATGGAATATAGCCAAATTCATTGTCCGTGTACAAGGATCTGAACAGAAACAAAAAAGAAAGGGTAGGATCGGGAGTGGAAGAACTAAAAAGATTATGCGCATATTTACTCTGGCGTGCCAAAAAAAGAAAGAGCAAAATGTGGTGTATCCATAATGATAAAAAATAAATTTAAGAGAAATATTATCAATTTTGAAACAATAGATGAAAGAATAATGAAAGTTAACCTATTTTTAGAAGACGAATTACTATCATTGGAATTTGTGCACCAACTAAGAATGAATCCCATAAGGGTAAGGATTTTGTTTTACAACAAGATGCAAGAGGCGATAGATGAAACTGGAGAGACAAGAGAAATAATGTTACTGAGAGGTTTCAATGCAAGAACGTAATCATTGAGAAATAACAAAATTATTGGACAATTTGGAGAAAATGTAACGAATGCCAATGGAAAATAAACTTAAAAATACTAATAAACTTTTGTAATACTTTAAAATTAATAATATGTTTTTATTTTAAACATAAAGATATTTATAAATATACTTGGACTCAACATACTAAGCAGTGGAAATCAGTTATTGGCTATGTTATTACGAAGCAAAGAACCCAAATTAAAATTTTAGATGTAAGAGCACGGAGAGGTGTTACCTGCGGCTCAAACCATCCGGTAAGAGCAAAAATCATTATTCCTTACAAAAGAGTAACACAAACACAGAAAGAAGAAAAAATTGAAATGGAATTAAAGATCTGAAATTTAATCTTGAAAGCTTAGCAGAAGAAAGTACGGAAGATTGTTACAGACAAGATTATATGAAAAATTAAAAGAAAACGAATATGATAATACTATAGAATTATACGAAAATCTAAAACCAGCACTACATGAAGCAGTAAGTGAAGCCCTAGGACAAATGGACAAAAAATGGAAAATCTTTTTAAAAATTTTGATGGAACAAAGATAGAAAATATGATACAACAAAAGACGTAACTTACTTAAAATGAATGAACACGAAAAAAGAAGATAGAATAAGATATAAAGAACTTAAAAGTCAACAAAAAAATTAATTCTCGAAAAGAAAAGATTGTGTTGAGATAGAAATTGTAGAGAAATAGGAGGACGAAAATGCACTGAAGCATAAAATTCCTAAAAATGTTAGAAATAAAAGTAATAGTAATAAAATGTTTAACTGAAATAAACAGTTTATTTCAGTTAAACAATGGGAAGAATATTATAAAAATTTATTAACAGAGGGTCGAATTCAATTCATGACAAAAGATATAAACATAGAAAATGATATGCCAATTCATCTAGAGCAGTGTTTCTCAACGGGGGCGATATCGCCCCATGTGGGCGTTTTTCCATGTTCAGGGGGCGATTAGTAACAATTTATATTTTGGGGGTGAAAAAACAATTTTCTGGGCGATATAGTAAAACATTATATTAAGAATAATTAAATATTTTATTCGGTATATCGTACAATAATCAAACAAATAACATTATATAGTCACTAGTCTATTCGATGTAGTACGAATTTGGTGTTAGCCTTGTCCCTCGGCAACGGAATTTTGTAGTGAAGGGGGCGATACTACGTAACGGTTTTATTGAAGGGGGCGACGATTCAATAGAAGTTGAGAAACACTGATCTAGAGGCAAAACAGATTAAACAAGCATGTAAGAAACTGAAGAATAATAGAGCAAGTGGTCCTGGAGGAATACCGGCAGAACTGATTAAAAAAAATGGAACAGAAAAATTATTTAGAATGATAACAAAATTATTTCAAAGGTGTCTTAATGGAGGAGACATTCCAAAAGAATGGAAAATTGGCTATTTTGACATCTATCTATAAAAATGAGATAAACAAAAATGTGAGAACTATCGAGGAATTACAGTAACAGCAACATTCTGTAGGTTATATGGATTTATATGGACGAATAATAAGAGATCTAATAGAAGAAGAATATCAAACAAAAGAAAAAGAAGCTCAGAGTGGATTCAGAGCAGGAAGATCACGTATGGACAATATTTTTTGTATTAAACAGATTATGGAGAAAAGATTAGCAACAAGACGGGAAACTCATTTGTTGTTTATAGACTCAACGAAGCCAAATGATAATGTCCCAACATCAAAATTATGGAAGACATTAAAAGAGATAAATATTAATAACACACTTATTAATTAAAGAAGTTAAAGAATTATATAGAGAATTCATAACGAAAATAAAAATTGGAAGAAGGATTTGTGGTATCAAAAGGACTAAGACAAGGATGTATCTCACAAACTTTATTTAAAATCTACGTAGGAGGAGAGACTCTCGAAAATATGGAAAAAGAAATGTTGTAATATGGAAATAGATATTCAATATTAACGGTATACAGTGTGTTTATAACACATTATAACAAGAGTTTATGTTACAGTTTACAGATGATCAGGTAGTAATGGCAGAAGATAAGGATGATGTGAAATACATGACAAGAAAAATAAAAGAGAAATATATTAAAGGCGGTTTATATATAAACATGAGTAAAACAAAATATTTATGCATAGGAGAGGCTAAAACAGACATGGAACTGGAAGGAAAAAAGATTGTTTCAGGGATGCGAACATTATAATTATCTTAAAATACAAATTCATCAAGATGGAAGAGATACATTAGAAATTAATACAAGAATAGCACAAGGTAAGAGAGCAGTTAAAATATTAAATGGAATATGGTGAAGTGAAAAAATAACAAGATCAAGAAAGAAAAGAATACAGTATACAATATTATTGTTAAAAGCATTCTATTATACGGGGCGGAGGCACGGAGAATGACTGGGGAAGAGAAGAGAATAGTAACAACGGTTGAAATGGATGCATTGAGAAGATCGTGCAGAATCTCGAAAAGAGAAAGAATAACTAATGAAAGGATTGAGACGACTTAATAGGATTGAATGGGAAGGTTTCGGAAGAAATACAGAGAAAATAACTTATTAGGTTTGGACATGTGAAAAGAATGAGTGATGAGAGACTACCGAAAATTCCACAAAAAAAAGAAAAAGAGAGGAAGACACAGACATACTTGGTACGACGGAGTAAAGATAGCATGAAGTGAAAACGGGATTATAGAGGAATGGTATAGGGATAGAAAGAGATGGAGAGGGTTCCTGGAGGTCAGAGACGCCATAAACTGAATATATATATATATGATAGATAGATAGATAGATAGTATTATTTTTGTGTCATGAAATATTTATAATTTAATAACAAATTTGATAATTTATGTACTAAAATCATTTGAAATATAATCCAAAAAGTTAGTCTTGTATTTATAGAATGATATCCTTTTCGATTGACATAGGTAAATTCTTTGTGCTCAGGATTATTAAGTGGTGATGCAATTATAGGAATGTGAGTTCCATCAATAGCACCTATACCGGAAGGTCGCCTAAACTCAAAATTTTTGTTTTATTAATGTCATCTTTGTTGCAGTACAGAACTTGGAAATTTTATCCAGAGATGGAGAAGCCCCGCATTTATTGTCTTGCTTACTGCCATCACACAACAGCTTACTGATGGCTGGCTAATTTCTAGTGTTTGAACTTGAGCTACTGGCATCTGATAGGAACCAGAAGCAAAAGAATCTAAGAGCACATAATACCTATATGAAAACAAATTTAATAAAACTATAATGCAGCTCACAGATATATTTTATATTTCAAAAAGTTATGTTTAAAAGTTTTTATAAGCGTATGTATAGCATGTATATTTATATTCATATTGTTACATGAACATCAACAATTTTGTATTAAGCAATATTTTATATATAATTAATAGATAGTAGTCTATTTAACAAAATCTCCACGTTAATGTGACTTTAAAATGTCACTATTTCGGAAATATATTCTTATACACAATTTTATATATTCTCAATAATTTTATACATTCATTTTTTTTATAAATAAGAGAAAATTAATTCCATGTTACTTTGAATACATATTTTGTTTGAAAATTTGTTAAATTATTATTATTTTTTAATTATAAATACAATGTTATAAAATGTATCTTATGTATAGTACATTTTATAATTGGTTAGTATAATCTGAAATTTATACTTCTATATATTTTGAAAGCAGTAAATGTATTAATATATCAAACTATAGTGTATAAACTTATATTTTTTCGAAGTTGCAACTTACATTGTATATATAAGAAATAATATTTATTCAGATTTCATGTTAAAAATTGCATTTGAAAAATGTAACCTGCATACCCCGTATTTCCCAGAAAATAAGACATCCCCTGAAAATAAGACCTAGTAGAGGTTTTTCTGAATTGCTAAATATAAGGCCTCCCCCAAAAATAGCCTAGCAAAGAAAAGACCTAGCAAAGTTTTCGTTTGGAAGCATGCCCGCCGAATAGAACACCAGAGCATGCAGCTGTGATTCTTTTTAGCCCGCCGCCGTTGTCTCCTATCTTTACCGTCCCTTACAGAGCAGCTGCATGCAGAACATGAAGACTGTTACCTATCGCCAACCCGATGTTCCCTTCCGCGGCCGTTACTTGTAAATGTGCAGGCAAGGCATCAAGAGGCCCGTCACCTTCCGCCATACCTTACGCTGCCCCTGCTGTGCTGTGCGAGTCTGCTGTGATGAGCTTCCCCTGGTGGCCGGAAGCTGCAATACCGTCCCTGCTGTACAAAGAACTGTTGTGGGAGATCGTTACAGTCTCCAGAAATAAACAGTGTTAGTACATTTTTACCCCTAGACATGAGCGCAAAAAGAAAGAGCTATTCTGTCGAGTACAAGAAAGGAATCGCGAAAGACTCTCGGGGTAAAAATCTTACTGCATTCTGCAAAGAGATGTTGGTATCCGATTGGTCCGAAAATGGAGAGCAGACTACGGCAATCTCAGTCAACAAGTGGACAATGGAAATGCTAAAAAGCGCAAGTGTGGATCAGATCGGCAACCATTATTTTCCGAGCTGGAAGATCTGATCTGTGAATGGGTTGTTGACAGAAGAGCAAAGGATTTGGGGCAAACCTTTCTGGTAAATAGTTTAAGTCAATTCAATATACAGTCAGCAGAGATCTGCTTGATATGGACAAGGTAGAAGAGCTAGCGCTTAAATATAAGCCAAAATTGATCATAGCAGGTCCTTCTACTTACCCAAGCAAAATAAAGTTTAAAATTTTTCGCGGAATCTCAGATAAAGTTGGTGCGTATTTGCTTGAGGATATTGCTCACTATGCAGGACTTATTGCAGCTGGTTGTGTTGTGAATAGGACTCAGATTCAAGAATTTGCCCTTGCAATGGCATCACAGTTCGAAATAGCCCCAAAGATTTCAAAGCATCACAACACTGGCTCGATAGTTTCCTTCAGCGAAGTGAATTGTCTTTAACACTGTTTAGGCTGGAAGATACTGAAATTACTGTATTAAATGTGCATTTGTATTGAAGTCCTTTATTGATGACGCTGACTTCTCTAAATACAATCTTTCCAATATGATTGCTATGGACGAAACTGTAGTATTTATGGACCAAGCATCTCAAACAACAATTGATCAGCAGGGTGCCTTCTCAGTGTACATTCCCTCCACTGCTTACGAAAGTGCACGTGTTATCTGTATTTTAGCAATTCGTCTGAATGGCACTAAAGTCCCACCTTTAATAATTTCTAAGGGCAAGAAAGATAAGATTGAACATGTTTCAGGCATTTTTATTCTTGAAACTGGAAAAGCCTGGGCCACACAAGCAGTTATAAGGAAGTGGGTCGATTTAATTCTGCCGCTTGTTATGTGAGGGAGCCAAAGAAGTCTGCTAGTCTGGGATGCAGCCAGCACACACCGCGCTAAAGACATGAAGAAATTTCTTCACGAAAGAAAAATAGATCAAATAATAATTCCCGCAGGAATGATGACCTATCTCCAGACTCTTGATATTGCAATAAACAAGCCATTCAAGGACAATTTGCGCATGGAAATTAATGGCTACATTGAAAATAGAATGGAGAGAAATCAGCGTGCAAACTTTGTGAAGCCTAAACCGCAAGAGGTTGTGATTTGGGTGAAATGGGAGAAAATCACTGACAGTTGCATTGCATTGCAAATGCACTACGAGCAGGCTACCTTACAAGAAGTACTCATTTAAGGATAGTACTATTGCTAGACATGAGAGATTTGGGCTAATAATTCTGAAAGAAATCAGTCTCTCTCATTGTCTCTCAGGTCAGTCTCTCGTCATTGAGAGACAGTATTTACGTCACAAGCTAATCGCTAATTAATTAAACATGTTTACATCTTGAGAGATCATCGTTTTATCCCAAACACGATTCTGGGCAACTTTTTCTGTGGAAGATTCTCTCTCTTCCAGAGATAATGCAATTACTTGAACGTGATTTTTGATATTATGCTCTGTTGTGTCAATTAAAATTTCCGATTTCTTGTCATTTTTATTGAAATATAACGGAGTAAAAGATTATTTTAAAATGTATTAGTTATTTCTGTTAAACTGAAGTTAAATATTGGATTTGAACGCCCGTCACAGACGAATTTACAAACTTTCAATGCAACCAAGCATTAAGTTTTATTTAACTTTTTTCCGCTTACTTAGCCTACGTGGTAGTTAAATGGTAACAGCGCATGTATTTTAAATTCTCGTCTTCAATTCTAATTAGTAAAGAATTTTCTTGGTAGGGGAGACCGGGGCAACTTCGGCATGCGGGGCAAGTTTGTCAAGCGCTTTTTTTTAAAAACAAATTTAAAGGAGACTTTGGTTATAGGTTAGGCAGTTGAGTTTTATTAGTGGCTTGTTGAGTGTAGTGTTTTTATTGTTCTCCAACAAGCGTAGTTGAATTATCAAGCAAATTTTCATTTTCGTTCAATTCCATATACAGTAGACCCCCCTATAACGCTTAGATACGTTCCACGCTAACCGAAAATTACGTTGTAGGAATGAGCCAATCGCAGCCCGATAGGTGGGAACTTTACGGACTAAGGCTGTTCGAAAGGTTTTCTTCTATAAAATTAACCGATTCTAGACTAATTCCACTCAACATTTCCAAAATACGTATAATTTTTTGGGAATAATCTGTATAAACTATGCTATAAACAAAAAATTGTAGGATTACTTACACCGTTCGACTACGCCGTTGCTTAAAGCTGGTTTTCATCGCGGAACAG